CAGCCAATGGGTGCATTCGGTGCTACAACCGCTCACTGAGCGCTCAGTGAACGCTTGTCACTGTTTGGTCTACATTTTTAGTTCTAACGGAATATGCCAATAAGATGTAAGCGCTCACTGAGCGCTCAATAAGCGATTGTAGTACTGAATGCACCCAATGACTCAATAATCCGCTAAAATAAAACTGGCCAAAAATGCTTCATGACGGAAAAATCTACATATTTCATAACGCCAATAAATCACTTTTGCAGTGCAGCAATTAAACTTATAACGCATACTTTAATGTTTTTATATTTATAAGTTTATGTCATTGATAGCATTCTTGGCACACAAGCTTTTTTCTTGCCTAACACTCAAGGGGTTAACTTCTAAAACATCAAACTTCAACGCTTATTAAGCGTTGAAGTTTGATATTTTAGACTAAACCGACTAAAACGCTCGGTTTATGAGGCCGACCGCCGCATTTTTTTTTTTGCCAAATTCTTTCATTTTGAGTGAAAACGCGTCGAATAAGTGTATTTTTATTAAGATTTTAGGTGGGATATATCCATGATAGTTTCACTAATCATTAAAATGCCATTTCACTTTTTAATCGTATACTAAAAGGTTGAAACTTATTGTATAAGTAAAATTGTAGTTGAAAACCACATATCTTGGTTTAAGATTATGATGTATAATAGTTCCTAGTGAAAAAATTTCGCTGAATTATTCCACGTTTTGGAAAATTTCAGCGAAATTGTTAAAAATTTGCTAAAATTTCACTGAAAGTGAATTTTTCAGCTAACATACTAAAAAATCGCTAAAATTAAGTTGAAATTTCTCTGAAATTTTGCTGAAAATGAATTTTTCAGCTAAAAATCGCTGAAATTAAACTGAAATTTTGTTGAAATATTCCAAAACATGGAATAATTTCAACGAAATTTTTCCACCAGGGATCCTTTAAGTTTAATAGAAATGTAAAACGCGGATGACCAGAGGGTCATAAAAAATGACGGGGGGGAGGGTTAAGATTGCGTTAATTGTATAAATTAATTTTATATATGAAGCTCTATCTGTTTCTCATTGTCGATTAAAACGTTTAAAAGATGAAGAGGCACAATGCCCATATATAACCTTTGTATCAAATTTATTTTTATATACATATACTGTTGATATATTATCAAAAGAATATGATGCTATTATATATAATAATATATGCAAATGCAGTATCATCAATTTTTGTAATTTTTGACACGCGTTGAAAGGCGAATTTATCATTTGTTTTATATATTTGTAATATATCACGTTTCGTGGATTTTAAATTGTGAGAAAGTAAAAGGAATAACAATATTATTTAAATATTGAGCGAATTATATTATTAAGCAAATTAAAGTGTTGACTCGGATCCCGAGCCGAGTGTATAATACTCGCAATGCCGAATTGCACGACCAATCTCACTTGGTATCTAGGAAAGTTTATTATCGGATTTACCGGAATATTATTTCTCTACATCAGTTTCTTGAAAGAAAAGTGAGCATCTTCAACGTATAGACCGAACCAAACAAAAATGATGAATAATGATATCAGAAGTAATCCTTTTCTTTATCCGACAGTAAGAAATGCTGCGTGTGCAACACTAGAATGAGAGAATTACTGCAGAAGGAGAAAAGTGAAAAGTGAGTTACGCTGGTCATACACGCGCGTCTTCCTAAAGCTTTTATTTCATCATATAATTTTTTTTCTTTCTTTCACACGGAATAATATCTAAAAAGTAATAATAAATGGAAGAAATATAAGCGCGTCGACAAGCATGTCTCTCGAGATTGTATATATATGATATGTATTTGATCATATAGAATTAGATGATAAAAGGATTACGCTTCGTATGACCGGCGATACCGTAATAATGAAATTATTAAAATTGACATAACACAAACAGTACTATAAATTTTCAATATTATTAGACGGCCAAGTAGATGCAAATGCATAAAGGGGTAAGTGGATATGATGTCTTAGCTAGAGACATTTGCTCGATTTAAAAAAGTGTTTTCATACTTCCTATGTGTCCATAATTTAACTAAAAATGAAACATGGATAATTAGAAGAGTAAAAGTCCTATTAAATATATCATTCGAACAAGTATATTTATTTTAAACACACGCACATATCTGCTTTTTTATAAAGATTTTCTCTTTCATACTACCTGTTTTTTAGTCTTTTTCTTTTGAAAATCTTACAAATTTTAATAGATACGAAAAAAGAAACGCATAAGATCAAATCGTATCGTTGTTAAAAAAAAAATAATGCTGTTATTTGTATCTTTTCACTCAATGCAGGATGCAAGATAAACGTTATTTATGTGGATGCAACAAGGCAATGCAATTGTAAGTTTTCTTCTATTAATTCGCATTTTGATTTGCAGATATTGTTTATAATATTTTAAGATAAAATATTCTTAATTTCATAAGTGTACATGTATAACATGTAAAATATTAATTAATTAATTAATTTACGTAATTATATATAAATTAATTTACGTGAATCGAATAAATTTTTTATAATTCTCTAGAACGTGGAACGACGATATGATTTCAAATGATTTTATCAAGCGTAAGAAGTCTTGTCCGAAAAGTCGCTGTTGCACCAGAAGAAATTCTTGTTAAGAAAGAGGAACGATAATGTGATAGCTCTTTGCTCAAGATGTACTATTTTTTAAAGATAAGATCTCTTATTTAGAATGGAGCTTTTTTCTTACTATTGGAATTATTTCCTTACAATTCACTCAATCGTCACTAATATATCAAACAATAAAGATATAATTCGTAAAGAGAATCGAAATATGAAAACAAAATATAAAAATTATTTAAAATTGACAAGGACGCGCGGCGCGCGCGGTTTACACATTTTCTGCAATTGACTGAATTAATTGTATAAGAGGGAAAACATGTCAATTACACGCGGACTCATTGAAATTACGTAAAAGATAATTATATTTTTTATTGACAATGTAAACTCTGTCTTGTCCCTTTCGAGTAAAAATTATTATTATAGTCGATTAAAGGAATTCCGCAGTATATATTTCAATTAGTAATCTATCAAGTTATGTGTCGATATTATGTGTCGACAATTTGTGGTGTTTAGATTGTCTGATCTGCATCAAACTATTATGCTCATTGTCATTACGTGATTGTGCTATTAGGTATGCATAGTAGACGGCAACAATACCTCTTACGAGCATCTCTATCTATGTATAATTGGCAACTAGCGAGTTAGCTATGAGAAATTCTATGAATAAGTTCGACATATTGTAGGAGAGTAACACGCCCAGTCGCACGCTCCGAAAATCCGAAACTCGATTAATACGTGTCCCATCTGTAGGTGAAGAGTCTATAAGTAGATCCTGCGCGGGCAGAACGTCAGTCATATTCGTATATTATTTATACTGACCTCGTAGACACGAGACACCTCGTTGCTAACGAGATGGCCGCTTGATCATGCGGTGTGTGCGTGTGTGCGCGCGTAATGATATATTTAATATATTTTCAATCGCACGAATTAAGATGTTTGTTAATATCGTCAAATGACGAAATATAAAATATTTATTTTTCCTCCTTCCTGTCCCTTTTTTTCTTTTCTTTCTTATATACAATTGATTAATTGGTTATCTTTATTGCTATGAGATTATTCGTTTTACATCATTCATTTTACATCAGCATCATATACAAAACATCCTTCTCTTTTTGTCCTATATTAATTTCTCTCTTATTCCAATCAAAAGTTATCTTTTATTCAGAAATGATTGATTATAAATAATGGATTTATAAAAAAAAAACCAGGAAGCTGAAGACAGTAAAGCGCTCGGTTGAAAATTACATGAAATATTAATAATGGAAATATAATCTTTATTTCGTTTATAATTTTTCGACGTATGTACCTCGAGTTTTTCTGCAATCTCTTGATGTTAATCTATATGTGAGATCTCTCTGAATGGCAGGCTTTGTAAGAGGTAACGTCGCAGCTGCGTCTCTTTCGTATTTTGCGCGCATTCCGATGAAATAAAACGAGATGGGCAAGGGTAGCGGCCCGAGAGCCGAGAAGAAATATTTCGAAATGAGAAGATGTTAAATGAGCGAACTGTCCGACTGTCACTCCGCCTAGTACCTAGTTTCTCATTGCTTCACGAAAATGTGAGTTAAAATGATCTCGTGAATATATATCGCAAGTTCTTCCGTCGAAAATACATATGTAACATTTCTCATAGTTATGAAAACTTTTAGTATATATTTGTTTTTACACATCTTAGCGCAATATATGTAAATATAGCTTTAATAGTTGCTTAGTAAACGAGAATGCATTGAAATGAATTAAAAATTGCAATTCATTTTAATTTATCCGAATTCGCGCTTTAGAAGCTGGATTGCTCGGAGCTGGATTGAAATGAATCGATATCTGAGGATATAAATTCATTTCTGTTCAGGAAAAAAATTTATAATTCTTTCTTTATAAATAGAACAGTACATTTTTATATTCATTTCGATCGAAACAGGAATATTCCTATTCGATACTGTACTCGGATATATAAATTCAGGGCTTATATTATATGTTTCGTCGTAACTTTTTTTATTGAAACAAAAATGCGTATTTTCATCATTTTGAACTATGATTATCATGTCATTATGTTGAAATCAGATGTATTTATGAATTCAAATGGATTCGAAAAATCAGAAGCGCGAATTCGGAAATGTCGAAATGAATTCATTTTTATTCATTTCAATTTATTCTCGTTTACTGGTTAGGTAATCTGTAATTTCACATATTCGGCCATTTCGGAAACATTCCTCGATCCATGTACATTTAACGATTTTTGTAGATATTTGCTCATAAGCTTTCATGTTTCTCATAATAACATTCTTCTCGTTATCTTCTACAAAGACATGCGTAACGGAACTATCGATATTGTCTTTAATTGTACCTGACATGAAACGGAATTTAAATTTAGCATTACACGATTGATTTTCAAAGAATCCAATTATATCTCTAAATAATGAATAAGGCGATGTACTCCCGAACAATTCTTTGTCCATTTCTTTTTCTTGTTCACTGGTAAACGGATTGCCCGTAAGCTAGATAATTTGTGAAATTATTGCGGTAAGATTATTGCGATAATACACATGTAACTATATTTATAGTAATAAATTTTTACTCAAGTACCTCAAAAATAATCGGTTTCGCAATCTTGCCGAATGAACGCTTTAAACTCTCCTCATCTGCATCAACAACAAAGCTATCGTAATATTCATCATAGTTTTCTCTAACTTGGTGTCTAGTAATGTTTCGACTGCACAATAGTTCCCATGGTAAAAAATCAATTAATGAGGTCCAGTCTGATCGATTGATGTTTGTATTGATGCGTTTAACCCAATCCAAAGTTACAACATCGTATTTTCCACTGTTTACTACTTCTTTCCCTCGTATCTGAAAAAGTAGTTTGCACTTTGTAATTTGTCCTTGAGTTCGATGATTATTAGATTTAAGCTTGAGTTGCGATAGCGCGCAGCACAAAAAAAAATATTTCTTACCGTTCTATTATTACCTACTATCACGCAAAAAGTCGTATTAATTGGATTCTGAACAATTTTTGCGCTATGTTGCTGCAGTATTTCTTCGATTTGCTCTTTTGATAATTCATCGGTACCATTAATTACGCAAATTTCTTTCCCATCTAATAGTCGCGTGAGTGGTACTACGCGCTTATCACACATGTTATGTTCAATCGATTTACTTCGACTCGCTATCTTTTGTAATTTAGAGACTGGTACTTGATCGATATCATGCAGAGTAGCTTCCTGCTTGGTTAACTTTTGAATTATTCCTCCATCCTATAATTGGATTATTGTAAATTGTAAGTGAGTCGCAAGGGCATGAACTCTACTTTCGTAATGTAATTTATCGTTCGTTAGTGGCATTCACATACTTTGGCCAACGATAGAAGTTCGAGAGTAGTACATGGACTGTACCAGGGCTTATCCATCCTTACATTCATAACTCTAGGAAATCGTAAACCGTATCCAATTGGATATTTATTACTACGTATCATCTCAGTCGCTCGTATCGTTAAAATTATAGAATGTTCTGGATGAATCCACATATCTGGCTGATTTCCCTATAAAGAATATAATACCTACAGATGTGCATGAAATGCGTATAAAACATTATCATAGTGCGTACAGAGTATTATACATGAATACTCTTGATGATCGAATAAACATATAAATTTGTTATGACGAGAGAGAAATATATAAATTTAAATCGAGATCTGTAGATATAAAAGTAATAAAAAAATCGAGAAAAAAAAATATATTTCCCTATAATATACATTTAAAATAATACATAATAATTAATGTTTACCTTGGGACCCATAATATTTTCAGGACGTTCCTTGATCCAATATGGCGCAAGTTTTGTTTGAAGATGACGTAACGTTTCATCTCCTATTCCAGTGCTTACAGATACGATGGAGAAAAATTGGGATGGATTTTCTCCTTTGTTCGCTGGTGCGGCAACACCCATCATAAAGCTTTTAATTATTCCTATATATTTGCCCTCTCCATAATAACCGCCAAGTATGATGAGGTCTATATCTTGTACTAAATTGTCAGAATACTATAAAAATATATATATTTTGATTTTGTTGCTTTTGGATTTTGTGCACATTATTGTTACGTATTGATTAAAGATAAAGTAATATCATTAAGTAATATCTTACGATACTAATACTATGCCTCTGTGGGCAGTGTTCACAGAGTCGAATCTTATATTTAAGTTAGGTACTGCAGTTTTAAGATATCATGAATTCTGTCAATCAGAGCCATATTAGCATCTTAAGACATTATTTCTTAAGACGATCTTAAAATAAGAACAAACTATGAATACCACCCTCTGATTGATTCACGACATCTTAAGACTGTACTTAAGACGGTTCTAAATATAAGTAACTTTGAGACCGTCCAATGTATCATAAATGTGTTATTTTTTCAATGTTTTATTTTTTAAATACGCACATTCTCTCTCTCTCTCTCTCTGCGATAAATTAAATTTTTAACAAAAACTATTTAAAATAATGATGTAAAATAATATTAAAAGAAAACTTTACCTCTGCTTTAATTTTATAACAACCGTTGCCATCTCGAATATTTGGTTTATATTTCATATTACATTTCTTTATAACAAGTCCTTCCTCGTTATTACGGAGGCATGTATTGAATTCCTTTAGCAATTCTTCCCTTATGGCAAAAGTCGCAATAATTAATCACTTATTGCTTTTGTACGCAATAATTATTACTTTTAAAAAAATAATTTCATATGAGAAAATAATTTTACATCTGATAGACACATTCAATTTCCAAACGATAATCTTATTATAACATTGGCGGCTTATCTTATTGTAACATTTTGTTCGTAATATTCTACCTGTTTGAAATTAAAGTAGATTGACATACAATTAGAGAACCTTCTTCTTCGGTGAATATATTGTTGAGAAGCTTTAATCTATCTTTATAAGGTGTATCAACGAGCAAGATGTCATTATGCAGAATCACATCAAACGCAACGAAACACGGCTGATGATGACTGCTCGCCGATAAATTTTTGACGTCGAGATTCATACCTTTTGTACTAAATATTTTTTTCTCTTTATGCCAAGCCATTAATTCTCCATCCAATATAAAAGAATGACAATTCGGATTCAAACACCGCGTAAATACCGCGGTTAAAAAACCTATCGGAAATATTATAATTTAATTATATTACAGTTTTCAAAATGAAATAAATGTATAAATGGTGTATGTACATACATACAGGCGACGCATACAGCCGATTTTTAATATCGAATACGATCTATCTATATTAATAACGATTCGCAAGCAAATTACGAGTAAGTTTCTACATTTTACAATAACAAATTTTTATAAAGTGGCTTAATAAATTAATATAAACAAGTAAATAAAAGTAGGAGCATGCAACCACATGCAAGATATTCGTAGCGAATGTCGTGTATTTAAAATTATTACGTTAACAACATAATTATAGTTATGTTCCGATAGCTGTGTCGAAAATTTTCTTTTTAGTTACAAGGTTGGTAGCGCTGTAACTAACATAGATGTGTTCCGTAAGAGATCAGTTGACGCTGTAGTTTGCATTTGCTTTATCGGCTTGTCCAGGAAAGAGGTTAATTTTTACTTTTATAATATATAGTTGATTATTTATTATTATACATATTTATTGAAATATGATATTTAAGCAATGTGAAGCGAATATTGGACTGATGAGAATAAATTTAATTAAATAAAGAAATCCTATATTTGGTCATGCAATATGTAGAATCAGAACGTTATAAATTTACAAAGAATTATGTATTTAATATTAAAATCTGCTTTGATCGAATATAGGATAAAGTAAATGCAAACTACGGTGTCAGCTGATCTCTTACGGAACACAGCTATGTTAGTTACAGCGCTACCAACCTTGTAATTAAAAAGAAAATTTTCGACACAGCTATTGGAACACAACCTATATTGTTAACGTAACAATGTATTTATATTGTTAACGTAATACTTTTAAATATATGACATTCGCTACGAACATCTTGCGTGTGGCTCCTCTTCTGTTTACCGTTTTTTCATTTTATTCAACTTGGAGTATTCGTTGTCATACCCGAAGATCCAGTTTCTCCGTATCCATACTTGTTTGTAATGTCGTATCCTCTACGTGTCAAGTATTTAAATTTTCCATTCTTCATGTGGAGTTGCGATCTCTCGCCGTCGTATTTAGTTTGAACATAGTACAAGTCATTATCCCGAAATAACTCACTGATATTTTCGATATTGCACCTCTCTAAGAGCATCGGCTTAAAATGTGAAAATATTTGTATGCCGCATTTTTTTAATTTGATCTTAGGATTATGTAACTGGTTACAAATCTCGCGCAGATCATTTGTCACAAGAGATTTATCATTCGCGTCGGGATGATAGACTTGAAAGAAATGGACTGCGATTAGTCTTCCAATGCGTCGTGTGAGACACATTATACATACTTGTATAATACAATATAAATTCTGTTATTAGGCAATTAAGTTATACGAACTGTGCAGTATTCTTTGCGTTCCTATACCAAGTCGTAAATCTTTAAGAATGATACGCGTCATCCACTTCATCTCAAATCCTGTAATTTGTCGAAAAAGTACTCGAAACGTTTCAACTTTTTGCTGCCTCGTTACATTCGTGTTTCTCTCGGAGATACTATCAAGGAACTCATTAATCCGCGCGATCGTGAATCCAGTACTGATTCGAGGTAATTTTTTATTCAATACGCAGTAAGCTCGATCAGCGAAATCATTTCCTATAAATTTACCCGACGAGGGTAAATCTCTAAAATAAGATTGTTGCACTTTTGAGAAAATTTCTTTAAGGAAACGTACGTGTTACCTAGTTAGCTGCTGTATATGTACATTTGTTGATGTAAAAATCTTGTATATGTATATATATATTTCTATACAAGATAAGATATATACATATATATCTATATATATATATATACACAGGGTGTTTGGAAAGTAATGAAAAATCTTTCGCATAAAGGCAGAATGGACTAAACTGAGAAGAAAAGTCCTCTATCATTTTACAATTTTCGCAATAGTTAACAAGATATTAATTACTAAAAATTATCGCAAATTGGTCTTCAATAATTTTTTACTCAAATATCAACTTTACAGAAAAACTGAAAAAGACAAAAATTGTTATTTTCTTCTCATAAAGCTCTAAGAATTTTTTCAGAATTTTTTATCAACTTTTTAGTACTGCATTTCCTTATTTTTACCAACATGAGAAAATACGGTTTTTAAAAACTCTAAAAACATTAAAAAATTCTGAAAAAATTTTCAGAATTTCATGAGAAGGAAAAATAAACAATTTTTGTCTCTTACAGTTTTTCTGTGAAGTTAATAGTATTTGAATAAAAATTTATTGAAGACCAATTTCTGACGATTTTTAGTAATTAATATCTTGTTAACTATTGCGAAAATTGTAAAATAGTAAAGGATTTTTCTTCTCAGTTTAGTCCATTCTGCCCCTATGCGAAAGATTTTTCATTACTTTCCAAACACCCTGTATATGTAGAAAAGTATGTCTTATCGATTATAGCATATAACGGTTACAATTGGGAGATTATATTATACTGACCGATAATTTGCTAACTTTTTATAACTGTCGCTATTTTTTGCGAAACCGTATACGTGAGCGTAAAGATTTGCCAACGAAACTTGCTTTAAATTATGCGGTCCACGCTGTCGTTCAAGGTCGGGTAGTATCAATCTTAAGATAGGATAGAGTGATACATCCTAAGACAAAATTAAATCGAATCATAATTAGAGCCGGGATATAATAGCAACGTCGTACTATTATTGTCATGAAATATGTTATTTTATGGAATAAATTTGCAGGATACTTTTATCCAAATCACTTTTTAGAGAATGTGTTGCAATTTTTTTGTTTAGAGTTGTATTGAGAGAAAAAAAGGAGAAAATATCTCACGATAATCCCTTTGTTAATGCTTATATAACACTAACGCTAATAAGGTTATTAACATCCTTAATGACAACTGCCATTGTGATCAATGGACGCGGCCCAATGATGACAAAATACACACCTCACGTCTCTCTCACTCTCTCCCCCCCTCTCTCCTTACAGCGTTATATCGTTAGATTCGAAGAGATTTTAACAATTCTTTTATTTTTTGAAAACGAAAACGTGTTTATTGGACAACTTTCGATAATTTTCTCAAAAGTTTCTCACAAATAAATTTAATCACTTTTACATCTACATCAAACTAGACGCAATATTTCTATTCAACACATACAATAATGTATAGAGTGTAGAGCGGGGCTATTTGGTCAGTTTCATTTCTTAAAGTAATATAAAATTTATGGCAAACATCTATTTGCAGTAACGTGCTTATATAACTTTAACGTGCTAACTACTTTATACAATCATGATTGCTTCTTGAGAGCACAAGTATGATACCTTTAAATGTTCAGTATATGCTGTTCAGAAATATAAACACCATCATGAGAAATGGACGAAAAAGTTCCGCTTTACTCTAATGTACTCTATGTACGTACCGATTCAGAATATTCTATTTTCAGTTTATCGCCAACATTTCGACACTTATCGATAAATGTTTGCAAAATTTGTTCTTTCTTTTTTACATCATGTGTCTTGGCAACGTCTTCCAATGTATCGCATAATTGTTTAAATTCAATTTTAGCCTCTAAAGCAATAGCCATTACTCTAAAGAAAATTTATATTTTTGCTATTTTAATATGGTATGCCTTAATATGGTAAGAGATCGAATGACTTAGTTCATCATCTTGAAAAAATAATATATTTTGTTATTATTTATTATATAATACATGTAGCGATAGCAAAGATGTATAAAAAACTATAAAGGGCAAATA